AATCAATGAAGCAACAAACCACAAAATACTAACCCTATACAACAGTAACAGCAACAAAAGTACACACTAATGACACTATGATATACTACATGTATTACTAATGCAGCACATTATACATGGGTCATTAGACACTGTTATAAATACAGGTCACACACACACGCACACGCACACACACACACACACACACACACAGAGTTTATTTATTTAAGAGGAGGAGGAGGAGACTTAGAGAAATCAATATAGACTTACCTTAAGAAGTATAAGATGACAATTACAACAATAACTGTCACAATGATTATCAATAATAGGACAATGACTACAACCACAATAACCACTGTGTTACCACCATCAGCTGGTAATATAAAAGAGAGAGAAAAGAATAAAAAAATAAAAATAATAAATTCACTAAATCAACCATTCCACTCCACTCCTCTCTCCTTACTAGGTGTTACAGCTGTGGGTATGGTCGGTCCTGATGAAGACTCTCCTGTTCCAGCTGCAGTACTACCACTGACACTAATACTGTAACTAGCCTCAGCTGAGAGTCCAGTAAACACAACATAGGACTGATCAGGTTCAGCTGTCATTGTAATGGGACTCTGCCTCTTTCTGTTATTACTAGTACTAGGAGTGAGGGTTACTGTATAGCCAGTAACGAATCCTTTGGCTTCTTCTAGTGTCAATGGCATCCAAGAGACATTCACTGACGTTGGGGATATCCTTTGGAATGTAACGTTACGAACTGGACCAGGTTCTGATAACAAAAAGTAACAACAACAACAACAATAATAATAATAATGATAACAAAATAAGATGATAATTAAATGCACCTCCTTCTTTGGTAAAGTTGGTTTGACTGGCAGCTGGTCCAGTCCCTCCATTAGTAGTGGCATTGACAGACACAACATAAGGAACCTCTGGACCTAAAGGATATTAAATTATTATTATTATTATTATTATTATTATTATTATTATCTTCATTGACTTACGTAATTGATTAATAGAGAGTTTAGTATCAGTAGTGGTTGCATTTTTAACAGTAGTCATGTTGCTATAGTAACGTATAGAAACTGTATAATATCTAATGACACCATTAGCAGTTGCTGGACGACTCCACATCACATTAAATGAAGTATCATTAGACCGACCTAACACTAGAGAAGTAACTTCAGTAGGAGCTAGAGAGAGAGAGAGAGAGAATAAAAGAAAAGAAATCAATCATGTAGAGTGTAGTACATTATTATTATAAATACCTGACTCAGCAGTCGTTCCATACTGACTGGCAGGTGGACCAGTGCCAGCGACAGTTGATGCACTAACATTGCAGCTGTAATTAGTAAAAGGTGTGATACTAGTAAATGTAATGTCAACACTAGTTCCATCAACAACACCAAATGTAAGATTATTAGCACCTTTATAACAGACGTAACTATAACTAGTTATGATCCCGTTGGCAGTTTCTGGAGAAGGTAGGTTCCATGCTAATGTCAAATACAAGTAAGAGGAATTGGTTGGTGTAATGGTGAAGTTTAATGGAGGACCACTAGGAGCTGGAAGAGAGAGAGAGAAAGATGAAAGAGAGAGAGAGGGGGAAGAGGATAAAATAGAAGAGATACATTTAAAGAATAAACTGACCAGCTTGCCCTGTGACTCCATTAACAGTGGCAGGAGGACCAACTCCAGCACTAGTAGCAGCTGTAACGTTACATGAATACTCTCTGAATGGCTTCAAATTGCTGAGGATAACAACCCTGTTTCCGTTAATAAAATTACCAAACTGAGTGTCAGATGAAGGGACAAAATCAGTGTCATTGACACCACGGCAAGTGTAATTGAAATCAGTAATATCACCAGTGTATGGGGTAGGATTATCCCATGACAGCCGCAACGCTGATGAGCTTATTGTTGTTAGGGTTACATTAGATGGAGCAGATGGGGCTAAAAGAAATAAAAACACAAACAATTAGTAATAATAATGTAATAATACTTATAATAGACGTACCAGCATCTGAAGTAACGAAGGAATCAACAATACTAATATTTGATCCATTCGTGTTGTTAGATATAATAGAATAATTATATTGAATACCACTGCTTAGCCCTTGAATAGTGTAAGTATACTGAATATTAGTAGCTGTGATGAATGCCAATGGTGGATCAAGAGCTGTCATGTTAGCAATAGTGCTGTTAGAAAAACCATCAGAATTATACATAATAGTGTAGCTCTCAGGTGTATAGGAGACTGCTGATACATTCCATGTAATGGTAGCTGTGAATGGAGTAGTCGTAACTGAAACTATCTGAGGCTGGACTGGAGGAGATGGACCTAATGATTATTATAATAATTAATAATAATAATAATAATATTAATTATTATTATTATCATTTACCTTTAATAGTAACACTGGTTGAATCATTAGGCATGGCTGTACCATCAGCACCATTCACAGTGATACTTGCATTACAAGTATATGTGAAGCTACCCATCACTGATGCAACAACATTTAATATATTCTCAGTAGCTCCACTCTGCATATTGGATACTTCTTGAGAGCCATCAGTCCATAAATACATTATTTGAGGATTATTAGGAGAAGGAGTAATAGTAACAGTACAGTTGAGAGTGAATTCATTATATGGAGAGACATCTAACCTAGTAACAGTCTCTGGAGTAACAGTAACACCTTATCAAAAATTAATAATAAATAATTAATAATAATAATACTTTATCAATGACTTACTTGATACATAGATAATACCAGTGCCTGTTCCATCATCTGATGCTATTATAGTAGCATTGGAATGACTCAATCCAACAGTGCAGGTATACATTCTCCCATTAGTACTCATAGCATTATTGATAGTGTAAGTAAAACTTTGAGTACGAGTATTAATATCTTGAATAGATCCAAGAACACCAGTTGATGGAGTTACAGTACGTGTCATGTAGTTTAATCCATTCAGATCAACAAAGGGAGAAATGGTAACAGTACATGTTATTGTAGCATTTGTTCCAACAGCAACTGAGGCTGATGTTAGAGAAACAATAGGAGCAGGAACTATACATTAAATATAATAATAAATACATGTAAAATAATAAACTTATTATTACTTTTAACATTAAGAGTAGTAGCAGTGGATGGAGCAGATACATTACTGTTAACTATGTTTGATTGCATTCCAGTATAAATAACTTGAGCAGTACAAGCATAGTCTCCACTACCATTAGTTGATACACCAGTGAGTGTACGTGAGAATGTCTGACTAGCTATTGAGGCAGTGTAATTCATTGAACCAACTCCTCTGTCCCAAGTGACAGTAATATTTACTGAACCATATATACTGGAACTGTAGTTAGTTAGTGTTACATTGCACAATAATTCTACATCACCACCAGCTAACACATTATCAGTAATATTAGTATCAGCAGACACAGTTGGAGTAGGAACTATAGAAAATACATTATATCACAATTAGATAAATCACAATAGATGTTATTATAAAATTTCATTCTTACATTTAACATCAAGTGTAGTGGAATCTCCATCAGATACAGCACTGTTAGTAACATACATGTAAGAAGGACTGGTTCCATTGTAAAACACTCTAGCAGTACAGGTATAGGCTCCACTATCATTAACAGAAACTCCAGTGAACATGTGAATACCATTTACAGTATTCATAGCAGCTGGTAATATTATTGACGGTAGGCTTCTACTCCACATGACTTGGACATAAAGATCTGATGATGCTGAGCTATAACTACTGTAGCTAGGCAGTGTCACAGCACAGATTAATTGTGCATTACTACCAACAATTGCAGGATTAGTACTAGCACTAGCAGTTACAGTTGGAGTAGGAACTGGAAAATAATAAAAAATAATCTACATAAACTATACTTACTTGTAACATTTACTGTTCCAGTACTATTCATAGAAGAACCTGCAGTGCTTAGCGTTGCATTACAGCGATATATTCCAGCATGAGATATATTGACAGGGGTAGTAGAGGTAAGTGTACTCATATCTGTGCGATCCCCCATAGTATTAATTAGATCTATATCCATATCATAACTAGCTCCAAATAAAAAGGTGTCAATAGCCTGGTCATTGTGGGTCCAAGATATATTTAAAGTATCGTTACAATTTCCATTACAAGTCAAATTAATGCTGCATGTGATATCAAATGACCCAGTACTACCAGCAATTAAGGGTGAGCCAGCATTATTAGAAACAGTAACAGAAGTAATGGAGAGATCTAAAAGAGAGAGAGAGAGGGAAAAAAGAAAGGGAGTATTAAGTTAAGTGTACTAAAAAAAAGCAACGTGCTCCTTAATATCATTTATATTATTTAATGTTTACATGTAAAAAACACAAAGGGAAGTTACCCAAACATAACCAACTATACAAACACACACACCCTTTCCTCTAACCCTCCCCATCCCTTCCCTCACTCCCTTCCTTCCTTTCTATATTAATAATGAAAGCTAAATCATAATACAATTAAAACTATTAATAATAATAATAATCACAACAATAAATAATGATAATAGTAATAATACTACTTACTTTCTATAATAATGATAATAATGATAATAGTGATAATAATAATAATAATAATAATAATAATAATAATAATAATAATGACTATATACAATTACAACATCCCCTTAATTTGATAATCAAATTCAACAATGATCAAGTTTATATTATAAAGTTTGCTTGTGCAAATCTACACATGTACATGTATATAAAACAGACAGTGAGAACACGACTATCATACTGTATATAGTAGAGGAGTGATGTGTGTGTACATACACTTGTACATATGATGTGAATAATAATAACAATAATAAAGAATAGCTCTGATACTGAAACTATATACTTGTATACAGTTACAAGTGAATAATGAAGAGAAAACATTAGGGAGAGAGAGAGAGAAGGAGGGGGGGGACAAAGAGAGAGAAAGAAGAAAGAAAGAAAGAGAGAGAGAGAGAGAGGGTGTTAGTATAATGGCAGACACAAGTCACACTGTCACACCATTTAACACTTCCACCATATCATACCAAAGAAACCAACAGATCCTCTTTTGTAAAACAAGAATGTGCAACACATAAATCCAACAAAACACCAACAAAAACACAATATAAGACACACACACACACACACACATACATGTACATGGATGAATTCCAAGTCTTAGTACTAAAATGAGTATATAACTTACCAAGTACACACACACACACACACACACACACACGTATTTTATGAGTACACTCAAGAATAACAATGATTAAAAATAATTAACGATGTTTCCATAAGCAGTGAAATAACTTATGATAAACAAAAACAATACCAGAGAAAAAGAAATTGGTGGGACGATTAGATAGAAAGAGAGGGGGGAGGGAGGGAGGGGAAGAGAGAGGGAGGGAGATATCATATCATTAGATGAAATTAAGGAACAACAAGCTAAGCTATTAGTTAATAATTTAAAAACTTTCAAAGCTCCCATAAAAGGAACAAAACAAATCTTCTTAAAGGATCAAAACTAACAAATCACTTAAAATTCCATTTAAAAAACAAAATAAACATAAAAGATGACATATTAGATGAAAACACATGTATAATATAGATGTAAACATTCATTAGTACATTTATTAACAATACAATTCTAGACAATGAATCTACATGTGCAGTAGTATTATTAATCACAAAAGAGAGAGAGAAGAGACACGAGGTAATAGGAGAAGAGGGGCGAGCTTACCATTCCCTTTAGCTGGTCCAGTTACAATGGCGAGGAGAAGGAAGCAGGCGATAAGATAAGAGCTGAGAGAACAGCTCCACATCTTGAACATAAGCACGACTAGCAAACCCTATTGATAATAAAGAGAGTAGAATAATAAAACCAGAAGCCAAGGAGAAGGAGCCGAAAGAGAGGAGGGCGGTTGGCAAACTGAGCTAGCAGTTATTATATTAGGCGACTAGCTCCTCCTCTAAGCTTCCTGTATATTATGCGGACACGTGGAGCATTGTGGAGCATTTGGCTTTTATATTTCTTGCAATTTAAAACTATATCGATTAAACAATAAGTAAAAAGTATAGGCTTTCTCTCCTTTATATGTATATCATCTCTATATAATGAAGAGGAGTCTTTTCCAGGATAGTTTCTATTAAGTTACACTATCAGCCATTTTGACAGTGACCTTTCCTAAAACATGGCGGCAGAGTCTATTGCGCATGCGCAAGAACTAGCAACGTGGTAAGAACGACACATCTTGGAAGGGCATAAAGATGGTAAGTTTTTAATTTTAATAATTTTACATGTACATGTACATTACCATTTGCATTGAAATATTGAAATGGACCGTTATATGCGACAAATTTTAAACTATCAAGTCTTTATCATGCCTCTGTTTTCTCTACCCTCTCTCTCCCCCTCCTCTCTCTCTCTCTCTCTCTCTTAGTTGGGTAAAAGTTCAAAGTTATTGCAGCACATGCACCACAGGATACGTGTGACGCTGCTTGATGGTCGTATGTTCGTTGGGACATTCATGGCATTTGATCAGCACCTTAATCTTGTCCTCGCCGATTGTGAGGAATTTAGAAAGATACGTCCCAAGAACCAAAAGCTACCGGAACGAGAGGAAAAGAGAACACTGGGACTCGTTTTATTGAGGGGAATGAATCTAGTATCCCTGACAATAGAGGGCCCGCCCCCATCAAGAGTAAGTAGTGATAATGTTCTTATTGTCATCCATTCATGTTCCTGTATCGTATGATAGCTGGTGATTTAAAGGGAAAGGAATTTTAACAAATTTGATGTTTTGTAGCCAATTACCAAAAACTAAACCTGCCATTTCGCACATGTATGACCACAAATTTGTCAAATTAAAATCACTAAAAATTTGCTAAACTACCACTTCCCTCTTCACCATCACCACCTGTTCATAGGATAGGTTTAAACAGGCTCATCCTCAGCAAGCTCCTCAAGCTGGTCCTGGAATGGGCCGTGCTGCCGGTCGGGGTCTACCAATGGCTCCAACTGCTGTTGCTGCTCCAGCTGGTTAGTATATACAATCTACACACAGACAAAGAAATGATGACATAATGTCACTCAGTGTCATATATTCCCCTTTTAATAATACACATTATCTTACACCCACACACACAACGTGTAGTTTTAACATGTACACTATAGCCTCTCTTAATGGACACTCTCTATATCGTACACCTCCATTTAACGGACAGCACCTAGTGTACCAATTACATTCCTTACTGTATAAAATAACCTCCACATAAAGGACACCTCTGTATAACAGAGACACTTTCTTGTCCATAAGTGTCCATTATATAGAGGCTAGTCTGTATACCCCAAAGTCCATTAGTCAAGGGGTTTAGTTTTGTTAGTGTCTCTGTGTGTTTATGTTGTATAATGGTGTGTTTAATAATGTAAGTGAGTTAGTTTTTGTATGTTATCATTCCCTTACTGTCCATTAAACGATAGTATTTGTTTATTTTAAAAGTGCCATTGCGTGGCCTCTCTCTCCTTAGCTTTATTATTATTTCCTTTGTAATCATGCTTTTTGATTTATGTTCCGTGTCACTTTGTTTATTATAACTGTTGATATGTCAAGACGATAACAAGTTACTGATGTGCACTTCTATCTACTTTCACTTTCAATAAAGGAAAGAGAGGGAGGGAGGGAGGGAGATGTAAGTGTTGAGTGACATGCAATATGAAAGATACAGCTGCTTGTATGAATTTGTTTTATATGTACATTGTATATGTGTTATACTAATAATGAGTGATAGTCTTTCTCTTGTAATATGTCACAGGTTTGACTGGTCCTGTGAGAGGTGTGGGTGGACCAGCTCCCCAAGCAATGGCTCCTCCTCCTGGTCAGCCAGGACGTGAGTTAAATCATTAATTCAAATGCTGTACGTCTTTCAAACTGTTTCTTGTTCTTCTGTAGCTGGTGGACCAACTCCATTTAATCTTCCTCCAGCTGGTATGCCACCCAGACCACCTCCTGGAGTAATGCCTGATGCACCTCCTCATGGTACGTACCCTCTCTTTCTCCTTTCCTCTTTTTTAAAAAACAATACCGTATAGTTGGGAAATATATTTGCTGGAGTGTACGTAACTCCACGAAAGCATTCACATGTATAGTCATTGGGTGCATCAGAAACAGTTCACACCTAAATTCCACTTATAGTTTATTTTAGCTCAGAATTTCAAATTCAAGTTTTTCCAGCTGCACTGTGGTAGTATTGGGACACACTCTCTCATTTTTTTTTTTGATCGTTAGGTCGTCTTCCTCCTCCTGGTATGCCTCCAATGATGGGGCGTGGTATGCCCCCACCTGGCATGCCAATCCCTGGCCCTCCTGGTATGCCACCTCCTGGCCCTCCCCCAGGAATGAGAGGTGAGAGACGATACATTTATAACCTTTTAGTTTTATATACTCTTTTTCCTTTGTAGGCCCACCTCCCAGGTAATATGGCTACCCTCTCTTTTTCTGTGTCTCTGTTTCTTCTCATATTATACCTTTAAGATGTCACCTTTGTTTCGTTAGCTGACATTAATTAATTAAGAATGGACAGTCACTACGATATGCCTTAGTTGTTGTGTTTTGTTGTTTTACATGTTTATTAGTCTGCTTAATTAATTGATGTGGGCGTGCCTGATAAAATTAAAATGGCGTCCTTGCTGAGGTGTGTATCTAGACTAACAAGATTCCAAACTCGTCATATCTCTTTGACAGCAGCTCGTAGAGACGAGTATGACATCAAGGATGATGCTGACTTCAAGAAGAGAGTTCTTGAGAATAAGAAGCCAGTGGTGGTTGATTTCCACGCCGTTTGGTGTGGGCCTTGTCGCGACCTGGCACCAAAGCTCAGCAAGATAGTCAACAGTCGGGACAACAAAGTGGATTTAGCTAAAGTGAACATAGACCATCACCAGGAGCTAGCTGTTAATTACGGAGTGGCAGCAGTGCCTACTGTTATGCTCATGAAAGATGGGAAAATGATAACTTCATTCCTTGGGCTGATTTCAGATAAGGAAATTGAAGACTTTGTACCAAAAGAATAAAACACGAAACCGACTAGTGCTATATGTACCTGTTCAATGCATAACTTATGTACAGCAAAGTATTTCACATTGATTTCTTTGACGTGCCACTCAAGCTTCTATGTATTAAATATTATTTATTTATTTATTATTATTATTATTATTATTATTATTTCTTTGACTTTATTAGAATATGTCCTGGGTCTAATTGACACTTTTTCTTTATCGTATTTAATTTCTCGTCGATACACTTCACATCAGGCGACCAAGTCTTGGTTCTATCTGATGATAGGGCCACCGGAGGTGATGAAGGCTTAGGACCTCCTCCTCCTCCTGTGTGTATCCGTCTTGTCAGGAAATACTTATGTCTAGAAAAAAATAAAACGAATATTATTTTGAAGCATTAATTTTATAGCAAAAACATTCACAAGAAATAGAACAAGTATATAGATAGTACTCTTGATAGTAGCTCCACTACTTACCTTATTTCTTTGTTAAAGTAATCCCTGGTGCTTAGAGATCCTCTGGGTCTCTGTAGTATGTACTGTACCATCTCATTCTCTTGGAGTGAGAGTATCTCTTGAGTGATGGCCGACTGTGAGCCTAGCCTCTTCACTTCAGCACATACTGAGTCAGCCATTGTATCTTCAGCAACTGGAGCATACCCCAAGTGTACCAGAGCTCTCTTAGCTTCACTGGGAAAGAGAGAGAGAGAACAAAGAAAGGAATTGTAAAAAAGAAGAGAGAGGAAATGAATGACATACGTGTACAATTTTCTACACATAACTGCATATAAGTACATGTACATGTACACTAAAATAAAAACTGCATTTACTTGATAACTAGTTCATTGTCTTCAACAATCAATATATCTCTCAATGCTCCGGATACTTTATCATTCTTAACTCCTAACAGTCTCAGAGCATTGCATGACTCGGCTCTTACTTGAGGGAGTCTCTCAAACCTCACTGCCCAGAGGAGATGAGACAACAGATCAGGTCTATTCACTTTTAGAGTCCCTATAGCTATGAAGGACGAGTACATGTAAATCTTTAGTGATTGGTTGGTTTTAATTTGGCATAGTGTATTTGCACAATCATATACACGTACATGTACATGTATATTCACCTCTTATTGCATGTGCTTTTACTTTCCATGACGTGTCCTCCATTAGCGTGGCAAGTGATTTAATAACATCATCATCGATCAACATTAATGCCTCAGCTACCTATGGAGGGAAGGATGGATAGCTTCTCTCTCTTGTTCTCTTTCTCTCTCTCTTACAGAAATAGCCTGCAGTTTGACTGAGATGTGGTCATCAGTAAATGTATCAATGAATGCTGGCATCAACCTAGCTGTCATTAGCTGTAGAGTTTGAAGCTAGAGTGTAATAATACAAAAATTAATTTATTATTATTATTTATTACTATTATTACCTTCTTTAATGCATCAAGTCTGATGCTTTCAGTTTTTATTCTCAACCTCCTTTCAATTTCATCATGAATTAACTAATAATAATAATAATAATAATAATGATTAATAAATGAATAATTATACTTTAGCTTGTCCAGTTCTGCCTAATGCCTGAGCTGCAGCTACCCTAACATCACTGCTCCAGTCATTCCATGAGATAGTAACAAGACGATTACACACGTCCTATGAGAAAATAGTAATAATATTTAAACTTTTAATTGCTTCTTGCCAAGGGGTGGTGGGAGAGCAAATTAAATTAAAAAATCAAATAAATCAAATTCTAGGGAGACAAGTCAAAGCCAATGTAGGAATCTCTTTATATTCATTCACACTCTCTCTCCTCTCTCTCTCACTTTATTTATTCCTCCATACAGTTCTGGCAACAGTTTACAAGTCGTGTATCTGTCCTTGCAACTTTTGCTGTTCAGCTGCTCCAGGAGTATAGCATTCACTAAATTCTACATTTAAAAAAACATAATAATAATATCAGGTGATAATTATGACATATAACATACAGTATTTCTACTTAATTCAGACAGCAATATGGTGCTGGCCTGTACGATGTCGGACGAGTCTGAGTTGGCAGCTGCTAGTAGTCCCTTGACCACATGATGACTGGACACTCCACTAATGGCTAGCGATTGTATGGCAGCCCAGTGCTCGGCACTTGTGATACTACAAGACTCAGCACAAGAATGAAGGACACTCAGAGACTGTAGGGATACAAATAAAATGAAGGTGTTATAAAAATAGACAATCAATCGAACTATATTGACATGTAGAGTAAAGCTATCAATTAGAAAAGACCATGTACTATAGTACAGGGTGTTTCATGAAAAATGACTAGGAGAGAATTCTTCGTTTTTATAATATTTTCTGATACATATACATGTTCTTATGTTGTGTAAAAAGTTTGAGCTGATTCCGATCAAGTTTGGATTTTTTATGAATTTTTAAAGTTGCTCCAAAATCAGGCCAAAGTCCCTGTACTATAGTACAGGGTCATCGGCCAAATTTTACCAAAAATGACTAGGAGAGAATTCTCAGTTTTTATTACATTTTTTGATACATATACATGTTCTTATGTTGCGTAGAAAGCTTGAGCTGATTCCGATCAAGTTTGGATTTTTTATGAATTTTAAAAAATAACTAACCTTTTCAATCCTAGGATCATCATCATCATCGTTGCTGCTATTATTATTATTGTTGTTGAATAATGGCTCATCCAAACAGCAGAGCAGTATAATGGCACACAATACTCTCACTCTCACCACGTCACTCTCTAATAATCGATACACTTGTGCTAATATAGACTCAGGGAGAAGATCTTTACTCCCATCTTCATCATCTCTTCTCTTCCTTGATGTCATTATGATTGACGATTCTTTCTTGTACAGCCGCATCAGTTTATTAATAATTAATTGAATGGCCACGCCCAGTCCATAGGCCTGAGTATTGGAGCTGACTGCGTTCAGTGATGAGCCAATAAATTCATTAGTGTGATCTTGTTTTTGAGTTTGGACACTCCATTTATCTAATAACTCTTGAGCTATGAATAAATTAAATAAACAATAAAATAATAACGATAATAATAATGTTCATAATTACAATTAATCATCACATGGCGTTGCTTTCAGAATTTATATGGTAAAAAAGCAGCTATTTGCAATCAAATAAAATTTATTCATTGAGTAAAAACTTTATATACATGTACATATACTGAATACTTACCAACTCTTACTAGTCTCTTGGAATTTGTTTCAGGAACGTCTTCGAAATTCCCTGGCTCTTTAGTATCGTTAAATTGTGGCAGAGAATCAGTGCTGGATGTAGCATCAGCCATTAACCACTGAGCTTTGCCTGATGTCTAGAAAGAAAGACAAACAGAGAGAGAGAAAGAGAAGAGAGAAGAAATGGTTGAAATGTAGGGATATATATCAGATGTAACATACACATATTTGTATTGGTAATCCTGCCCATCTCCTATAGCCAAAAACAGGTTTCCTTGACTGGTTATAAAGGGTATACTCCTCTTCGTTAGTATCTCCTAAGAACTCTGAAGGATCCTTGGGATAGTGTGCCTGCAGGACCTTCCTGAAAGCAGTTTTGTTGCTCAGTAGTATGGTGTCGTTGACACCTTTAACATGAACTGGTACTGCTCCTGATGCCAGCTCAGCAAGATAGCTACGTCTAGGAGGAACATATTCAAGAACCTAAATGATAATAATAATAATAATAATAATAAAATTAATAATTGTGTACATGTTTTAACTAATAAAATAACTTACTTTTAATACATTTGCATCATTCCCTTTCTCTGCTATCTTATTTTCATTTTCTTTTATTTCATTATTATCATCGTCCTTCTCTCCTCCTCTTTTACTTTTTCTCTTTATCAAATTAGCTGCCGTCAATTTTGACACACCTCCAAGAACAAGCTCCTCCCACTTCTCGACCGAAGATTCATGAGGTACCTTAGAGTTCCCCTGACTGGTTTTATAAACAGGTTCTGCTTGATGGGACTCTCCAAGAGAAGACGGACGAGTGCGTCTAGTGATACTATCAGCGTCAGTGTTAAGGTGACACGGCATGTGCTTATTGCCATCTCCTCTCATCCCACAGCGACCCTGATCACGTGATCTCTGCCTAAAGTCACGTGATTGGGAACGGAGCAGTGTTGCATCAAATGATCTCGTTCTGAGAGGATGACACAGTAAAGGCAAGTCTCCTAGTGATTCTGCATAAGTCCTGGCCTCGGGACAATGTGTAGATACCACAGAGTCCTCGAACCTCAAGCTGTTGCTTAATTCAGTCACCAGATTCTTTCTTCTTGGGATATTAAAGACAGACCAGCCTTTCTGGACACATTCTCTCCCCTTGTCTCGCCTCTCTTTCTTGATATTAGTAGGGAGAGAGGCCGTTAGTCCAAGTAGTGGGATTTTGACTTTGGATCCACAAGCGTACAGTTCTGCCATTTATTTATTGTTGCTATGCAACAGAAGAACACGCCCATTCTTTGCAAATCCGGTGAATCCGCATGTTCTTGCAAAGGCTTGCAATGAGTATCAAGTTAGCAGCTTAGCATTAACCATAACCATTAGTCCATTAACACTGTCTCAGTCTGTCTGTCCCTTGCATATATAAGCAGGTTGTCTGTGTAAGGACTTCAATCAGACAATCACCTCATTCACATTCATTCAGCTTTCTGGTCACAACTTGTCAAGTCAAGTTATAGTCAACGTTCGCTCATAATACTCAGTGAGATCTATGAACATAGCCTGCATCAGAAGAGCCATGGGTCAGTATTATATATTTGTTAATGTTTCTAAATCCCAAACTGTGCGCCATTTTTTCCTCAAAGGATTTGAGTTTATCTGGGATTGGCAGTTCTTTCAACAAGGGCTGGCTTTGCTCCTTCTAGACTTGGGTGATAACTCACAGTCTCTGGAACAGTCCTGTTTGAATTTTCTTGGTGACAATGCAAGCCAGTACCAACCAAGTGCATTTGAGAGATTGCTACCCAAACACTTTGTGAGCAAAATTGATGTTGCCTATCTCAGGCAAAGGAAAGTGGGTGCATGGGCAGGTGATCGTCTCATTGTTACTGGAGACTATTCTGACTACAGTCCCTTTCCACCTCATGGAGAATGGAAATCAGGATGTCTGTATCATTTAGCTGAAAGCTTTGAGGAGACTGACTTTTCAAAAATACGAGATACCCTTAACGACAGTGAGTGCATGGCTACCATTGAGAAAAAAGTGAAGGAACTATGTCAGGACAAAGCCATGAAAGTCGTCAATCTTGACAAGAAAGAGTACCTTGACCCAGGGGCATATCCTGCTAAAGAAGCAACAACGTGGGACATAATAGCAAATGATAAATTCAACGGTGTCATGGATGGGCTGTTCATTAAGATGACTCACTCTACCAGAGGTGGTTGTGAGGCTTTTTATCCTTCTATTTCTTTAAAAGGAGAATGGGCTGGTGATAGGATTGTAATATGTACTTTGGATGGCCTTGAAAACTACAGAGATACAAGCAATCCTGATGATGTAATGCAGGCACTTCAATGAATTTTTGTTAACATAGATTACTTTTGAAAATTATTAATCTTTGCTTTGAACTGTTGTGTTTGTATAATTGTATTTAATCAAGTAAAATATAAATTGAACTGTTATGCACTGGTTGCAGCATGGATCCTGTGAAGTGGTATAACCAATTAATCATGCATATTTTCCATAAAATATTTAATAAAAGCATCATTAAAATACTAATAATGAATAGGGAATAACAAAATGAACAGGCTATATAGCAATCACAATGACATAAAAATAGTTCAATACGTCCCATGACTATTTGACATACAACTCCAGTATATCCAGTGGAGTATCTCCACCTGCAGATCCAAATCTGGTACACGACCTCACCTCAATGTAGCTGCTACCAGCTCCTTCTATTGCTTTATTAAACCAAGGCATTTTAGGATTAGTACAACAAGGGCCTTCTAATCCAAGACACTGTTTACCATCCCACAATGGATCATTAGGATAAAGAAGAGCAGAGTATGCCTGTCCTACTGGTAGCCCTGCTTCACAATAGTAATCATTGCTAACAAAGGATGGCGGGAGATTAAGAGTGAAATCTGTATTGCATGGACAGTCGTATTGAGTAATATCATTCTGATAAACACCGCCAGCATATGACCATATGTGTTGACGAGGATTGTCTCCTTGAGTAATAGAATATCCACTCACATAATAGCTATCGAGACCAACTGACAAAGATCCTTGAAATGCATCTGGTGAGTGATACTGATATCCTCTGATTTGTCCACACACTTTAGAATAGTTCAAACCATTAGTAGAGAAGAATGCTGATAGGCATCCTGCTCCACCGAGATTGATTCCACAGACACTGTGATCAATGTTATTATAGTCTTTAGTGACTAATCCATCAGGACATGAAGCTCCAGGTTCAGTCATGTTGATGTAAGCTATTCTTGTCCATCCTCCTTCTCCACAGTCAGTGATGTCCATTTTACAATAGGCAGTGTATACAGTGCTGTTTAGATGAGCAATAGAATACTCACCAGATGCTGCTTCAGAATTAGCTTCAAGAATCTCCTGGCAAGACATCAGTTCTACAAATTGAAATGTAGATTAAAGTATTTTAAAAGTGCTTTACATGCATATTATTATGTTTACATTGCACAATTCTTCGATTAGAAAAAAATAGCTCACAAAGTCCATCTGAATTCCTTCAGTCAGTCTCATATGTATGCATGCATAATTACCTGGGCAAGACTTTGGTCTTAATTTAGGACAGAGGATGTACTTTGAAATGCCATTGTCCCTGATAGTAACAGTCTGTCCCAAGTTACTTATAGCACAGCAGACACTAAGATAGAGGGACAGTCCATTGTTTTGATGATATCCAGTATTAGTACAGTCAGTAGCCATGCAATAAGATCCTAATCCTTCAGGAATATTAAAAGCTGTCAGTAGAATTAGGATTGAGGTTACTGTAGCAGCTTTCTTTGCAGCCATTCTGAGTCTTGTCCTTTGCCAATTATGGAGTTAAGACACTAATGCCAAATCGCTTTTAACAGGAAAATCATATTATGATGTGCTACAGTGCTTGTATGGCATTTGTGTATGTTTGTTCTGCATTCACATTAATATGATCACCATCACAAATGCAATTAATGATTTCTTTGTCAGCGATTTCAAAAGAAGGCTCCTAAACCAGTTATACTGGATAAACTGGTTGATTGGCCTGAGTCACATGTGTACAGCATGGCCTACAATGTTACGAATTAATTTTATCAGGGTAAAGTTATTCTAATTAAATCTACTACCAAATTCAATGCTAAAATAAAGAATTGTTTAAAAGTATTTGCAGCTATTATAAATTAATTATTTTTCTTAAGATTACGTTTCACAATTCTATTGAACTGGAACAAGTAGCAGACAGCAACCAACCTAAAGAGTCCCATTAGCATAACCTAAAAAAGAAATTACATTATTATTATAAATCATTATGCTTACTTGTACAAATAGTTCCCATAGTGATGAGAATGGAGCTGCACCAGAAGTCATTGTGTTCAACATAAATCCATCAAAAGTGTGATATATGCCAAAAGCTCCTCTCTCTATTCCACTCACTACCTAACAATACAAAACACAACATTCTCTGGATGGAGTATCTTGAATAAAACCCAGTACTTACTTCACTAGCAACTTGTTCTGGTTTTATAGTTTGACTGTATGACGCCAGCTCCTTGACTAGTCCTGATCTCTGCTTAAGCTCTTCATCCAACTGTGGAGTATCTTTACCAATTATTACATAAGGAATATCATTATTGATAATATAATGAGTTACCTGTGTCAGGAGGAAATGAAATGCTAACTCTTATTTTATGTGGTCTTAACTCCATTGCCAATACTTCAGCTAGGCCACGTAAAGCAAACTTGGTAGCTGAGTAAGCAGTATAGCCATACACTGGGAACTAATCATTAAAGGTGATTAATAATAATAATAACAAATAAATTGATTATTAATCATACTTGACCAGCTTGAGAAGATATGAAGACAATATGGCCGGACTTGCGATCCTTCATTGCTGGAAGGATGGCTCTTGTCACAGCCACACTTCCCAATACATTAGTAGCGTACAATGACTGAGAATGAAATAGACCATAACTAATAAACTAAAGTGCCTCTTTTTTCTTACCTCAAACATCTTTCTATCAGTATTAGTCAATGATGCAGTGTGTGTAATACCGGCTGAATTAATCAATACATCAACTGGTGGCATGTCCTTCAGAAGCTATTAATAATAAACATATACAATCAATGTTATATGTCAGAACTGGGAATTTTTAAAATGCTCATATCAAAAAAAATATTGGTCGGAATCAGCTCAAACTTTCTACACAGCATAAGGACATCAATATATATCATAAAAAGTAATAAAAATTTGGGGTGATTTTGGAGCCATTTTTTGGAAAAAACCATGGGCTATAGTACAGGGTACTTTTCCAAATTTTGGCGTTTTCTTAAAATGGCCGTAACTTGAAAATTTGAAGTCAGAATCAGCTCAAACTTTTTAAATAGTATAAGGACATCAATATGTATCAGAAAATGTAATAAAAATTTGGGGTGATTTCGGAGCCATTTTTCGGAAAAAACCATGGGCTATAGTACAGAGTACTTTTCCAAATTTTGGCGTTTTCTTAAAATGGCTATAAATTGAAAATTTGAAGTCAGATTTAGCTCAAACTTTCTACACAGCATAAGGACATCAATATGTATCAGAAAATGTAATAAAAATTTGACATGATTTCGGAGCCATTTTTTGGAAAAAACCATGGGCTATAGTACAGGGTACTTTTCCAAATTTTGGCATTTTCTTAAAATGGCCGTAACTTGAAAATTTGAAGTTGGAATCAGTTCAAACTTTCTACATAGCACAAGGACATCAATATGTATCAGAAAATGTAATAAAAATTTGGGGTAATTTCGGAGCCATTTTTTGGAAAAAACCACAGGCTATAGCCTTGGGTATTTTTCAAAAACTGGTTCGTTTTTAATAACACTCAATTACGCTCTTGCTGATTAGGTACCTCCTACCTTTTTAATGACATTTTCAGCATCGGAGTGTCCGACATCAACAGATAATATATTTATTGACTTATTCGTAAATTGTTTTTCCAACTCTTCCTTTACAAGTTTCAATTTATCCTGTAAACTAATAATTGAACAATTTCGTCATCATTAACAGGTGCTACTTTGTTACGAGCTAAGAGAGTCACAGAATCAGCACCTCTCTTTAAGGATTCAATTGCAATTGATTTACCAATACCACTAGATCCACCAGTGATCTAATTAAAAAGCAAAAAATAATAAAAAATATAAAAAATGCATTCCTTTCTTTTATCTCACCAGCAGATGCTTCCCTTTTATTGAATGTTTCTTCCTCATTGAATTTAAATATGATACTACAAGTGATACTGCTATTAAGCCAGCAATGAATCCCAATACAGTTAGACAACACTCCATCCTTCCTTTTAATTTTGCACAATGAGCCACACCCCTGACAATTCACATAGCCACACCCACTAATTATGATCTCACGTGACCCAGCATTACATTAATACATTTACAATAATCTATATGAACATTAATTGTACTGGAAATCTGGAATGATAGCTAAAAACTATAACATTAAATGAGTTTGAAATTAATAATTTAGATCAAAAATTCATCATTAAAACTCTATATTCCTTCGATGTCCTCTAGAGCTTGTTTTAGCTCATTATCTGCTTTTTCTTTCTCTCTTTTTACCGTCTCCAGATCAGCTATACACATCAAAACAATAATAATGGCAGCAGAAACTACAATTATTATAATGTATCTGTAAACGTGTTTTATGCTCAAGGATAAATAAGACTATTAATCTTGTCTTTATTATTTTTCATCCACTGGCTAACACAATACAATAACACTGCAAAATGATAATAGATTTACTTTCTAGTTTTGAAATTTCATACTCTGCAGATTTAAGCTTCCTGTGTAAAAATAATATTGAAATATTGGTAATTTTAATAATTTATTGCTTACTGTTCTAATTCATCACATCTGTCATCTGCTGCCTTTTTATAAGATATCTGGTTGTTTAACTTAGATTCCGCTGTATCTAAATCACTTTCAAGTACTTTGATTTTACGCAGTGCTTCTTCCAATTCAAACTGAGTCTATAATATAATTCACATAATGATAATAATAATAAATAATCAATAAAAATAATAATATCAAGGATAATAGTTGCAATAACTACATAAAGGTACAATTAGATTCTGTTGTGCTTAATAAAGACTCTTGGTTATACCATCTATGATACAATATTCTGGCAAGTTTTCAGGCAAATGTGACAGTCAAAATATAGAAGATAGGCAGTCTAGACATTAATGTAACAAAGTGGGCAACAATTGGTGTAGCTGGAGCCTATAATTACAGTCTTTCTTAGTAAGGAAGAAGAAAATGAAAGAAGATTCGATCATCACTAACCAACTTGCAACATGACAGAATTATTAATTTGGCAACAGTTATTGTAGTATGTCAATTAGCAACATGGACAATAAACATAATAGTAAAAGCATGATGGAATGGTATAGCAGATTAATTTTGAGCATGACACTGTATTCTATAGCTGTGATGGTATAGAGAGAGGGAGGGAGTGTGATAATGTATAGCTATGAAGTATGAACATGTGAAATACCACAAATTTGAGTCACATATCGTATTATTGCTATATCACTCTAGCTACAGCCTTCAGTCTAGGGTCTGTCTAACAAGATTATTGTACATCATAAAGAGAATGAGAGACAGGAAGAGAGAGAAACAGGATGAGTGAGGGGGGGGAAGAAAAAGGGCTGGGAGCGATGCCAATATCTACAGTAATGGCAGAGTGTTTGCATTGGCAGCCAAAAGAAGGATTCATCCCGAAGTAATATCAGGTCATTTTTATAAAGACCATTCCATCTACAATAGATAAGGATTCATGCAAAATACCAAAATCAATATCATAAGGGAGATGAGACTAGGGTTTATTAAGAATATTTCAACGCCGGAATTTCTCACCCGATCCTTTTCTTCTTCTGCCTTATTTCTAGCTTCATCTGCCTCGTCTGCTCTTTGTTTATGCTGTTCTATCTCGTCCCGATAGGCCGCCAATCTCTTCTTTAACTGCTCCATCTCCCACACACACCACAAACCGCATGTATTATTGTATTTATTATTCAAAGGATTTAATAACTCAAGAATGTTAGTTAATATTATTAATAATCAAAAATAATGATCATAATAATAATGACCATAGTAATAATAATTACACACAAAAATTCAGTACTAAAAAATAATAATAATTCTACACGTCCTGAGGTATACTAAAAACGATTATTGTAAGAGAGAATGAATTTTGTCTCTTTATCCTAATTCCTCCAGCGTTGCCATCGTCTCATCCAACTCTTGCTTTGCTTTTTCATATTTTTCTTCTAATTTTTCAAGGTCCTCTACAATAATACAATGTAATAATAATAATAATAATAATAATAATAATAGATATCATTATCATTGCTTTACTTTCAGCAGTATCCAATTGAGATTTCAGAGAGTCCTTTTCCCTATTAAAATTATAAACACAACAGTTAATGCAATGACATGATGATGATGTAGTACTGTAGTTAAATCATCATCCTACAACTAGTACAGACCACAAGAACAGATCAGTATGACCAAATTTGGTAAAAGTGGCTTAGGAATTCACTCATAAGGGATTCGTGTAATTAGATTTCGTTTCTCTGCAATGAATAACAAAAGCTAAGGTGTTTGAAATTGCTGCAATGTTTTGTAACACTCTAATTAATCTGAAAGGCCAACTACAACCAACAACATCTATGTTTAGCCATCCTTTCTATTATTGTTTTTATTTCATCAATGCATGCCCTTATTAATCACACGAGTGGTAACCAAAATATTGCTCTTACCTTGAAAGTTCATCATTTGCCCGATCAGACTCACTAAGTTGGTCCTTTAATTTGTCTACTTGCTCTTCAGCCATAGCCAAATCATCTTCAAGGAGCTTTATTCTGCGCTCAGCATCTTTGCATTTAGATTCAGTCTGCATAATCATCGAGTTAAATCAATAATTATAATCAAAGATCCCCTTACTTCATTTTTTTCGTGTTCCATGGCGCTTCGCTGTTCATGAAGCTTGTCAAGCTCTTCGGTAGCTTTGTCATACTTCTCTCGAAATGCTTGCTGGTTTGTCTCTCTAAAAAATATAATATTAACAATGCATTCAAGTAGTGATAGTGTTTATTGCCCAGTCTAGTGTACATCACACAGTAATCATAATCAAGTGGTTTAACACTAGCACTGGCTTTGATGTGGTTTCACTTTTCCACACATACCACATGAAAAAAATTAAAATAAAACCAATATTATTATTATTATACCTCTGAGTGTCATCAAGTTGCTTTTCAAACATATCTGCTTTTTCCTGGGCTATTTCCAACCGCCTCTCAGTCGTTTCGAGGTCATCTTCCATCAATTTTAGTTTTCGCTTCAAATCATCTATCTCTTGATCTTTCTATGATAACACAGGCAAGTTTACACTCATGGTGAATCATTCTTTAGTCACTAACTTTGTCTAACTCATTGATCAACTCTTTCTTTTCTGCTTCGGCCTCTTCTGCTTTCTGTTTTGCGTCATCTGCCTCTTTCTTGAATTTTTCAATCTTCTTTTTAATATTTTCAGCCATTATTTATCAAAATCTCAGCTAGAGGACTCAACTAAAAGAAGATAGTGAGGGCAAACAACTCAAAATTCTTGTCTTGGCACAGTTGAGAGCAGATTACTGAGATTAGTGGTCAAGTGGAAGAGTGTGGGAGTTTTTATACTCCAATGAAACCTCAAAATTTCATTATACCTTACTAACTACTTAATAAAACACCTTAAAAATAGCAATAAATAATAATAATAATAATAATAATAATAATAACATCTATTAATTGTTAAGTACTATTGGTTGTTGAGTAAAGTGCTAGTGTTATTTAGAGCTTCATCATGACTAGTTTTATGGTGCATAAAGTAGCCCTGGATCTCAGCTAGGCTCACATTATTCCTAACAGATAGGACACTTGATGCAAATAATCGTCCTTTCTCTAAAGATGCCTCCGGATAAAAACGATTAAACATGGCTTCCAATTGATACTGACTCGCATAATCAATCAACACCTTTACATCAACACGTCCAGGACGAACCAACGCAGGGTCCAGCCTCTCCCGATAATTGGTTGTCATTACAACAATTCGACCTTCGCCAGATGCAACCCCGTCCAAAGCATTGAGTAATCCACTAAGCGTCAACCGGCTCAGACCATCATAAGCTGTTCTTGTCCTTTCGTTATCTTCCCTACTAGTAAAAGCAGCGTCGACATCTTCAAGGAGTATGATAGATTGTTCAGGAGCTATACTAAGTAGGTGGTTAAGTCTATCGTCTGATAATCCTCTCTCACTGAGGTTCAATAGACATATGCTGTAATCAAGCTCTCCTGCTAGTGCCGTGATGAAGCTGCTCTTGCCACACCCAGGGGGACCGTAAAGGAGATAGCCACGTCGATACGGTATCCCCCTCACCATATACCACTGTGAGTTAGATATGAACTCTCTTACATCAGAAACAATGTAGTCCGATAGACCAGTATCCAGAATAACGGAGCTCAGTGGGCGGTGTTTCCTTGGGTACCCAAACTGTCTCCATTCGGCACCAGCTGCAACATACACCACAGTCTTTCCCTCGTGGCTCTGGAGTGCCAGCTGGCGTGCTTCGGATAAAATTTGAAAATATAATTCTCTATTTCTGCCAATTGATGTCAGCGTGACTGTCTCCCAGGGAGTTCCGTGCTGCAAATCAATCATCTGTTTCTCTCTACCAAAGAGACAATATAAGGTATTTTAAGTATTTCCTCAAAATAAACAGAAAATGCAACAAAGGGACACACAACAGTTGGCAGCGGTCAGAAGGAGCAGGTGCATAACATACCTCACTGATAGTACAAACAATATTAGTGTCAGTAATGATTTTGTTAACACAATTAGGTACACACACTTAGTAACATAGGAACAGTTGTTACCTATTCCTCTCTGCCCTTATTAATGTTCTCTTATACCAAAAGAAATGAACACCAGGGCTTGGAACAAAGTGATACTCAGTGTTGATTTTACCTGAAACAAAGACAAAGGAGAGAGAGAGAGAGAGATAGAGGGAGGGAGAGAGAGAGGGGGGAGAGGTAGAGGAATGAAGGAAGAGAAAAAAAGCGAGAGGGAGGGAATGAGGGGGAAGGGAGAAGGAAGAGAAAACATACACTTAACCACAATTCAACATAGACCACACAGGATTAGACTATTCATAATAAACATTAAAACTATCAAAGTATTACTTAAACTATTATTTAATTACCTGTGTCTAATTGGTGAAATGTAGTTTCAACTGACAAATGTTGTGATCGCCGAGCATGAGTAGTGATCCATTGTAACAACCAGAGGTAACTCTTATCTTTGCTAGGGACCTGATTGTATTAATTAACTACTCATAATGTTAATTAGTGTAAGTGTTACTTCTAATGTAATCATAAAATGGCGTCTAAAGAGTACACTCCCCCACTGAAACCCTTTCCTCAGTCCGGCTATGACTGCTCCTACTCCGACTAGCCCAAATCCAGCCCCAAAGTAAGGATTATCCTTTAAACCATTGAGAAGTGTGGAGAGAGGCATATGGATGTTCACACGTGGGTGTTAATTAACTAGTTTATAACCTAGTCCCACCCATAAGGAACCGCCCAATAGTGGGAGCACTCACTGCGCATGCTCCAACCCACGTGCTCTGTCTTAAAGTTAAAGTATCAAAATGAGTGAAGATGAAATAATTCGTAAAAGATTGATAATAGAAGGCGATAGTGGACAAGATGACAGGAGGATAACTAACCTTATGAAGACATTCCTGAAATGGTGTGACACTAAGAATATCACTGATGAAGATAACGAGACAACCTACCAGAAGATGCTCTTCACACTAGGGCAGGTTTGTAATTTAATATAATCTTTAGTCATGTATAGTGAGATAAGATAGAACTTAATCAACTATAATTGGGTACATTAAAGACTTAATTTTATTTGAAATATGCCTTCTAAGCGAGGGTTAATTTGGAATTTTTAACCCCAAACAGACTAGTTATATTACATTTTATTGATTGTTTTTATTAGGTTGAGTTTGCATTCATACGTACTGAGCTCGTCCACTCAATGAATAAACAGGAAAAGGTTAATTATGAGGATTTAGTGTCCTCAATTGATAAAGATATTTGCGATACCCAATTGCTAATTGAAACACTAAGAGGAAAGCTATCTCAGGCAAGATTGGTTCAACAGCATCGTCAGGAATATGATGCAATGGCCGGGGTTATAATGAAGACACCAGCCAGACAGGAGACGACTGAGCGGATAAATCAGCTCGAGAAGCAGCTGGAAGGATTAGCCGTAAAGCAAGCACAATTAGTTGAGAAGCTTTCAATTCACAGGAAGCAGGGATACCTTTTATCTTTTGCTTTGCATCAATTGATTGACATTTTAGACAACGAACAGTCGGATAGCGACGATTATTCGGCACCTATGGACGTTGCTTGAGTTGTTTTTTTTTTCATTTTGTTATAGACTAGACAAATACAGTCAATGTATGATTATTAAATTCTGTTATTTTCTTTTTCTGTACACGATACAGGTTAACAGTTATTAACCAATCCTTTGTTTCAACTTGTACTTCAAAACAAGAGGTGGATCCTACAGTATTTGAAAAATATATAAAAAAACAATGGCATTTCACTTTCATCATACCCTTTTCAACCAATACGAGATCCAAATGAATTTTAAAGTGTTGTCCTTGTGGAGTGTCTTCTCACAACAGAGCAGATCAATCTATTAAAATAGAATTACGTAGTTTCATTATTGCAGCACCACAAATAGTTGATAAGACACATAAAACATAAAGTAATTTTTAGCATACATCATAATTTGTGCATCACTTACGTCATACAGCGGTGGGACTACAATCTTCCCCAGAATAAATTTCTTGAGATGGAAGACTGTCACACGAGATGAGCAGCGATAATATTTACGAGACAAATCCTAGGAATCATTATCAAAATGAAGCAGCTTTATAATCATTTATAGTTACTTGTAAATTCAGCTCATACTGTGAATTAGAACTATAGGGAAATGAATGACAGTACACGTGAAGCATCAGTTTATTGTTTGAATACCTGTGGGACTCAATCTGAAGAGATATCAAATCATCATCACGACTATAATGTGACAGGGAGAATTCTGTTGCTGCACCAATATGATCTGGTGGCGGAGGCTGAACATCTATAATAATAATAATAATAATAATAATAATAATAATAATAATAATAATAATAATAATAGTAATAATAAATGAATAAATTTACATGCATCAAAGTAGTTTTATTTAGAGAATAAAAATAATAATCAAAAATGCAATTACATGCCATGCAGCATTCGCGATACAAAACAATATATAACATAATTTAACAAACTATTAGCCGTACTTGGGTCTTCTTCTCCCCTTTCTCTGTAAAACTCTTCCCTCCTCTTTTGCTCCGCTAAACAAATTAAGCAAAAATGAATGAGCTCTTGTGAGTGTTTGTTACTCACCATTATAAAGTGAAGGGACTAGCTTGTAGACAATATCCTGCATAGTGCGATCAGGCCTGTGTATGAAAAAAGAAACAAGTGGCATAATATTATTAATAGTTTTTGTAGAACCTTATATTAAGGAGCGGCTGAGTTTCATGAACTACTGTATTACAGACAGGACAACTGTTACAATTCTGAAGATACTTCACGATACAAGTCTTACAAACTTTAAGAGAGAGAGACAGAAATAGTGCAATATAATGGTATGTGTAATATGAAGAAGTAATGGTAAGGACTATAGGAGGAGAGTAGGAAAGATTCTTACAAGTATGTAGACATTCTATGATGGTGGTAGCATCAATGAGATATCCTGCACAAAGGCTACATGTGATGTGCTGGTTTATATCCTTAACCATGACAGAGTTTTGCTTAAGAATAAACAATATTGATTATGATAATACAATAAGGGCTAACCTGCATCTTGAAGTCCTCTTTTCCCTTTTTTGTACTGAATGGAGTGTACAACACAAACTTGCCAGTCAGCCAATTCTCTCTCTTTAGTTCGGACCAGGTAGCCTTCAGTAGTTATATTCTAGGGAAAAGAACCATTCGATAAAGAGACTAATCGTATGAGAGTACGGCAATAAAGAGGGGAGCCTCTAGCAGGGACTCATAAGCCAGCCTTACTTGTCTTTTTTGCAGCTCACTATTCTACGAATGCAAAAATCAATGGCGGACATTTTTGAGGCGTAACAGGAAGTTGCCTCATACATACACACATATCATAGCCTTCTTCTTCTTCTTCTAATTATCTAACCATTACCAAAAGTTAGTTCACCACAAATTCCTCGCGGCGAGGAGACGGTCTGTTGGTTGGGTCCCTTTCTTTTTCTTTTATACCCTTAGGCTTCCTTTTGGTCTGTAGAGAGAGATAGTGAGGTTTTGAAGTGAAGGCTGTAACAGGTAAGATGATGAGCCAAGTGTAAAGTTTAGTAGAATAAGATAAAATAAAATGGTAGCGAAATTCTCTCTCTCTCCTGTCCCTCTCTCTCTCTCTCTCTCTAGTACAAGTATCCTTTCAAATCCTTTCTTCTCTTTCTTTCTCTTTACTCTCATCTCCTAATCTAATGGAATTAGATTCAGCTGCTAAAAAGGTAGTAATCCATTCATACAATGTCCACATTAAACCCTTTCAGCCATCAGTCTCCATTATTATAATTTACTAACAATGATGGCTACGTATTGATGAATTGTTTCTTTCTTTTCTGCTCTCTCTCTCTCTCTTATTTCTCTCTCTCTCAAGCCTCGTATGGAGGAAGCTGTTCCTGTCACATCACGCGTCCTTCATATCAGAAACTTACCTAGCGATGCTACTGAAGCTGACGTGTTTATGTTAATGTCAACTTACGGTGCTGTGAGTATCTTCATGATTTACTTAGTGTATCACTATACCCACCCTCTGGCCTTTTATCCTCCTCTTCTGTTTGTTCTTCCTTCCTCCTCTTTCTCCCTCTCTCTCTCTCTCTCTCTCTCTCTCTCTCTCTCTCTCTTTCTCACTCTCTCTTTTCCTAAAGGTGTCAAAGGTGTTATTGTTAAGACAGAAGAACCAGGCGTTTGTGGAGTTAGCCGAATTGAGTACAGCCTGTGCTCTTGTTGATGCCTTCTCTACTAGACCTGCTCAAATCAAGTAAGCCATTTTGAATTTAAAGTTACAGGAACTTTTTTACATATGTCATTCTGACGCTGTTAGATCTAGAGGGAGTTTAGGAGATTTTTGGTCTCCCATATTTTGTCTAGGTCTCATGAAATCTCTCATTTTTAACCTTTTTGTCTTTTATGTTTAGCCTGATGTAGGTATTTTTAAGTGAGGGTTTCCCACAAAGCATGCTAAGTGAGCTAAACAGCATGAGCTTCATGAGCTGACAAGCACTACAATACAGTACATGGCATTTGGAGCAACTTTGAAAATTCGTAAAAAATCCAAACTTGATCGGAATCAGCTCAAATTTTCTACGCAACATAAGTACATGTATATGTATCAGAAAATGTAATAAAAATGGAGAATTCTCTCCTAGTCATTTTTGGCGAAATTTGGCCGATGACCCTGTACTATAGTACAGGGACTTTGGCCTGATTTTGGAGCAACTTTAAAAATTCGTAAAAAATCCAAACTTGATCGGAATCAGCTCAAACTTTCTACACAACATAAGAACATGTATATGTATCAGAAAATATTATAAAAATAGAAAATTCTCTCCTTGCAATTTTTGACAAAGTATCCTGTATTCATGACACAAGAGCACTATGCCGAAATCCTATGGAAAACCCCACCTCTTAAGCCACCCATTTTTAGTTAGATTGGCCTCTCAAAATTTATTTCTAGATCTAAAAATCAGTACTTATATGATTTTCACTCGGGAAATTTATTCCCTTTTAAAATGACTGGACTCATCCCCATAGACGCTTACCTGTACAATGTGTAATGATTGTTTCATCTCTTTGTTTATATTAGGGACAGAACTGTTTACATTCAGTTTTCAAAGCATCAAGAATTGAAATCTGGCTCTGTACGTGACTGACCACTCCATTATAATACATCATTAATACTGACATAACCAGTATTATTAATAATCTCTGATTATGCTCACATTATTTTGTTGCTCTTTCTTCCTTTCAACAGACTCCAATCGCTAACCCTGGGGGTGTCCCTACTTTCACGTCAACTGTTGGAGTCGTGGGTACATCCCAGGGACAACCAAACTCCATTTTACGAGTCATCATTGAAAACATGATATACCCAATCACCATCGATGTACTACACCAGGTAAGGAGAGAGAGGGGGAGGGAGAGAGAGAGAGAAAGAAGGTGGGTGAGAGGGTTCAAGATGAAAGAGATAGCAGTGTCATTATTGTTTTTGTGGTAATTGTTCACATTTTGTTTGCTGTAGATATTTGCTAAATATGGCGATGTCCTCAAAGTTGTCACCTTCATGAAAAACAGTAAGAGAGAGAGAGAGAGAAAAATACAAAATATTATTATTATTATTATTATTATTACTTCTACTAGCTCAATTTCATGCCTTGATACAGTATCCTAATGAGATTATTGCAACTAATGCAAAAACAGTCAGTTTTTGTTAACAATCTGTACCTTCTCATTGTACATGTGTTCCTATTACTGTAGGCACTTGATGGGCAGAATATCTACAATGGCTGCTGTACGCTACACATTGATTACTCTAAGCTATCAAATTTAACGGTTAAATTTAATAACGAAAAAACAAGGTATGCTTAGATCCTACTCTTTATTATTATTATTATTATTTGGTTGTGGGTTGAAGATAAGAATAATGTGTATTTTGTGGGTGGAATGTTGGTTCTAGAAAGAATGATGTGCCTTCATTTTTGTTCTCATTTTGTTATTTTTGTACACGTACTATTGCTTGTAAAACCTTTGTCATGTCCGAAGTATTTTTGTTCAATAATAAAGAATGAGAATGAAAAGATACCAAATATACCCGACAGATGAATTAGGACAGAATCCACAATAGTTGTTTTTTTTTGTTGTTGTTTATGTTATTGTTGTTTGTATAATTTTAGGGATTTCACTCGTCCTGACTTACCATCTGGTGATCCTGAAGCTGCTCCTCTACCCGATCTCTCAGCCTACGGTATTTAACCCTTTGCCCTCTCATTATTACTCCTCCCGTTAGGTCTTCATCCTGCCTTTCTTCAGTCTCCAGCCTTTGCTCAGTTGCGTACTGCCCTAACGGCCCTTGGTGGGACCCAGGGAGCAGCTGGGGCTGGAGTGGTGGCTCCTACACCAGTAGTACTAGCGTCTAATTTAAATGACAAAGTATACCTTGTTTTATTATTATTATTACCACCACTTGCTATCTTACCTTACAATTATCTCCTCTTTTCTTTCTTTCTCTCTCCCTCTGCTTTGGTTTCTGGCCCTCCCTCTCCCTCTCTCTCTCCCCCTCCTCCTCAAGATGATATCTCCTCATGCCCTCTTTATTCTCTTTGGTATGTATACAGACCATATTTATCCATTTATTTATTTATTTACCTATTTATTTATTTATTGTTGTTGTTTATTAATAGGTGTGTACGGAGATGTCATGCGTGTAAAAATTTTGTACAGTAAGCGAGATTCCGCCTTAGTTCAATTTAGGGAGGCACAGCAGGCACAGAATGGTACGAAACTTTAAAACCAAGTCATCACTATATGAGTGCTCTCTCTCTCTTTTTCCAGCTGTTACTCATCTCAACGGTTGCATGTTGTATGGTAAAAAACTTCATTTAACATTATCCAAGCACACTCAAGTTCAGATGCCACAGCCTGGTTCTAATGTGAGTGGGTGTGGTCAAGTGGGTGTGAGGGTTAATTTTTTCTCTTTATTAGGAAGATGCTTTGACTGAAGATTTCACTAATTCTCCTCTCCATCGTTTCAAAGTAAGCCACACCCACTTGTTCCTAATATTAATGCCGTGTTGGCAGAAACCTGGTTCCAAGAACTATCAGAATATCTATCCTCCTAGCCCAACACTACACCTTTCTAATATACCGTAAGTACAATAATAATATTTTTATTATTATGATACCAAGTGGAGAGTGTCATTATTTTTTATTTATTTTATAGCGACGGGATTACGGAGGAGTATTTAAGAGGGTTGTTCACGTCAACTGGTGGCACCGTTGTTAACTTTAGATTTTTTCAGTAAGTCATTATTATTATTATTTATTTATTTATTATTATATATTTCTTTATTATTGTTATTATTAGGAATGATCAGAGGATGGCATTGGTCCAGATGAGCTCTCCTGATGAGGCCATTAGTGCCCTCATAGTAACTCACAATCACAAAATCAGTGAGACCAACCATCTCAGGGTCACCTTCTCTAAGAGCAACATCTAGCAGCTGCTCTCCTCCCTCTACTGGCCCTCGCTTGCTGTTAATACTACTACTACTACTTTCCATTGGTTGCTGTTTCTCATCAATGATGCCTTTCTTTGTTCTAACTAGTCTCCATATTCCTTTTTCTTTCTAATATATATTATATTATATTTTCTTTGATTTTCTTTTTCGTTCTAGTCTAGGCATTATTGTGATATCTTTGACTTTTTGCTTATTTTTCATTTAAAAAATTATTATTATTATGATTTATTAATAATTATTATTTTTCAGTCAAATAACGAGAGCTATAAATGGATGGCAGTAGAGCTTTAGGTGCTAATGAAAGTGATTCACACTTGTATTCACTGCATAATTTGCACCTTAAGAAATGAGCACCTTCCACCCAATGGCAGACCAAAGACATAAACAATATATCTGTCAGTGTATATATGTACATGTATGTGTGTATGTATAGCTACTGTGTGTGTTATATGAGCCATGGTTCATCTAGTGTTAGTGCTCTGAATGGAGGATCAACTGGAGTTGAAGCTACTGCAGCTAGAGAGAGAGAGAAAGAGTACATGTAACAACGTAGCTCCATTTTCTTGTGGTCTCATTTTATAAAACTTTTGCTAATAATCAGAAGTAAGTGCACGTGTTAGTATTTGACCACAAAAATTTGGAGTTATATTGCACATGTACATGGATTATCAATGTATTTTACTGTTATTTGAAGGAGGAGGAGGAGGAGGTTGATCATGAAGAGGAGCAGGAGGAGATAGACTCTCAGTATTCAATGGAACAACTGGCAGCAATAAATCTTTTAAAGAGCTGTGTATAACTGATGACTTCTTCCTTGATGACTGAGAGAGAGAGAGAGAGAATGATATACATGTACATGCATTATGTTTCGTAAATACTTTTAGGAAACTCAGAGATAACAGTTTAGTCGTATTGGGTCTTTTTAGAGGGTTCGGGTCGACACACATATCCACAACCTAAAAAAGGAACTGTCTAGTGAATGAAAGGAGAGATGTATGACATTAACTTTAAAAAATGTTTTTGAGTAGTCTTGAATGGGGTCGACGTTTTCATGTCTTCTCATCAGCATTGGAGGATGCCCCCGTAATTTCAGCATCATTATCTGTAGAAATTAACAAGTAAAATTTAAAAATGATTTATATGCAAATCTCCCTCCCTCCCTGTTTAATTAATTTCATTATTACTTCAGTTAGTGGTAGGCCAGCAAACGGGGCTTCCCCTGTAGCCAATTCAAGGGCCGCGATTCCAATACTATAAACCGGTAAATAAAACAGGTTTAACTGGAAGTACATGCCTGTATATGTCCGATTTATAAGTATATCCAAACAAATCCTGGGCCAGTACTTCTGGAGCAAGCCAGCAAATGTTGTCACCAGTTGACTGGAAATGACCATGCAAAGCCTAAAAATAAATAAATAAAATAAAATAATAATAATAAAAAGTAAAAGAAATAAATTTATAGTTTTTACTCTTTTCCTTGCTCCACTGTCCATGGTAGAGGTAAGGTTTCTGATACCGGAGAGTTTAACCCTTCCACCCTCGTGTATCCGGAAATGTTTGGCTCTAACACTCCTAAAATAAAAAAAGATAATTTATTATCTAAATACTAAATAACCAGTACCTCATTTATAATCATATAAAACCACATTACATGTATACAGTATGTCAAAATGGTCAACTTGTAGCAATGAATATCATTAGGATATTATCATCATACCAATATCATGAATAATACTAATAATAATAGGCTGTACCTGTGGACA